TTGACATGTTGTCTTTTCAAAAGGCTACGCATCGTTTTCAACTAATTTTATGTTCACTTCACTTTATGTTCACTCATATCTACATAAAAATCAACAAATCCCAATTTTCACTACATTTGGACGCCACAATCAATACAAAGATCAAATGATAGTACCAACACTATTGTTTCATGAGTAAACTACACTATGATTTACTATGAACGAAGGTATTATGAGATAAGATATTCAACAAATCTACTCGTTTAACTTGTACAAGTCTTATAAGATGTTCCAAAATATAATCAACTAGTTTTTTGAGTGAAATAGAGACTCTAGAACCCAATACGACATGAAGTCTTTTTAAACAGCTATGTGCCGTTTTAACTAGTTTCACTATCTTGTATTGATGAATTTAATAAAGTTCGAATCAACTATATTACTAGTATAAATATACTGAATTGCTTGTCAATGTAGATTGAGCAAGATTTTAAATGTAAAATATTTAAAATTCAACTCGTTTCACTAAATTCTCTCAATGTAAAGCCTCAATGGTCAAAATTGACTCGTTTCGTTCTAGAACACATTAGCCAAACTTTGCTCTCCACTTTCATACAAGAAAAAGACATCAATTTTTCAACATTTATACTCTCATTTCTTTCCCCATATCTTGTATGACTCAAGCAATTTTAACGATCATTTGAATCAAAACCTTCCTTCAGAATCATGGTTTGAATAAAAAAATTTCATTTTAAAATGTTGAAAACAAAGATACGACACATAAAATACGTAGGGAACATCCGCTACATTTTATTCAAAATTCATTTTAAACCTCGAGGTGGAAAATAGTTATTCCCAAGTCCCCACTATGCACATTTTCATTTATTGACATCTCATCTCAATTTTCAAGTTCTCAAAAACAAAATTACATCAAGAAAACACAACTATACCTCTAAAACTTAATGTATAAAACAAACTTCCTGATAACAATGCAACACGAACCAAATATTAATTTGTACAATATGTGAAACTGATAGTTGAAAACTTAACATGGATGAATCTTAAGCTACATCTAGCCTCCACAAAATAACTGAACCAACCAATTTTCTACCCATCAAATTTGTTGAACAAACTCTTCCAAAGTAGTATTACTAGATGAAAGGCAAACATAATTGATTATATTTTGCATCTCCAACAGGAAGAACCTAGAATGTCATATAGCTTCAAAAACTACTACCATGTGGTTTTGGGGATTAGAGAAGACCAAACATAGCCTAAATCCACTTTCAGCTGAAAATTTAACAAAAATAAAAACAAGATTGATGGTTAGTGTCATTGCCTCGCAAAAAATTTAGTTAGCTATAGGAGAAGGAACCACAAACATACATATTTAATGTAAAGAACCATACTGCAAATTGTTCTTTATGATGAATAACATCTACTCATCATTCCTAAGTTATTCTTTGAATCATTTTCACTCATTCCTAAGTTTCCTTCTTTTGTATCATCCTATCGCAGACCATGAAAAATTAAGAAGCAATTAACAAGTGACTACAGTTTAAACAAAGCAAATATAATATGCATACTAAGCTATAATATCTGGCATAAAAACCAACTCCCCCAAAAAATAAGAAGCTGTGCTTCAAAAAAATGAAATTCATTTGATCCCTTCGGGAAAAATAAGAAATTATAGTCAATTTCATGCCAATGAATGGCCAAACAAAACAAAGTTCTAGAATACACTCAATGGTTAAAAAAATCCCATCTTTTCAATTAGTTTCAAACCAATTAGATCTATAATTATTTGAAATCAAGAAATTAAACCTAACATAAAATAGAAAACAAGTGTGAAGCCTCAAACATCAAATAAAACTTCATACACCCAAAATAAATCTAAATTAAAATAATTTGTAATTACTGCAGCCAAAAATTATGAAAACAATAGGAAACAAAAAAAAATGAAATACAAAGCACATATTAATTTACACTTAGAAGCAAAAGAATATTTACCTAGGGATAACTGAAACCTTCTTAGACATAGGAGCAGGGTGTGAACGGCCATGGAGGTGGGAACAGTGGTAGTAAAAGAGTTGAATTTGAACATATTCAATCAACAAAAATTATAATGTAGTGAACTTGCAGTAAGGAGTACTTTATTAATTTTTTAATTCCTAGATAGAAACCAAATGAAAATAATTAGCCACTTACATGCTCAACTCAACCAATTAACCCTTTCATGGTTCTCAAATGCGTAATCTAAAAGAAGATGTATAATAGGAATGTGACATTTCAAAATAAAAAGGAAATATGAAACTATGTAATTTTCACCTGATGCAGCCGAACCAAGCACCCCACTGAGCCAAACCATGTGAACTCGGAGGTCCAAAATCCTAAAAAGGATAAATTGTGAACCACATTCAACCTTCTTTACAACACATATTCTCTCATTCTTGTAGTAGATATCAACATCGTGCTTTCCTTCAAAACCCTCCACAATCTTTGACGGTAGTGGTTGTCGGCCTCACAGAATTCAAAATAGCAAATAAGGCCTATTATCATCCACCAATAGAAATTGGTATTTCATATGCACACTATTATATTGCAAACATACCTGAGAAGAAGGATGAAAGAGATGGTGAATTTGAATGTGATAGGAAGGAGACGAGATTTTAATTTGGGAATGGAGGGGTACTTTGAATTTTTGTTGTTTTGTTTTGGTTTAAGAGTATTTTAGACAGTTAGTATTTTTAATATTAAAATATTTAATTTAATTTTAATATTTTGGTCAAAGGCTATTTTTCCAAACAAAACATTGTAAATAGGCTATTCTACCTAATTTCCACATTTAAAATCAACAAAGAAATAAATATGTCTATATCAAAGACATTGAGAATAGATATGTTATTTTGTGTCTGTACGTTGATGACATATTCATTATTGGTACTAATGATAGGATGATCAAATTTACTAAAAATATATTGAATTCAAGATTTAACATGAAAGATATGAGATTGGTTGATATTATTATAGTAATAAAGATCTCTTAAAAACATCAAATGGGCTTGTCTTAAATGAGTCACATTATGTTGAAAATATTTTTAAAAAATTGGTAAAGATAGCATTGGTGTTACCAGAACATCAATAGACTTAAGTGTACATCTATCCAAGAATAAAGGAGATGGTATTTCTCAAATAGAGTACTCTAGAGTGATTGGTAGTCTAATGTAATGATGTATAAGATCTGACATAGCCCATGAAGTAAGCTAAGTAGGTATACGAGTAATCCTAGAGCTAAACATTGGAAGACAAATTGTCAGAGTACTGAGATACTTAAGACATACTCGTAACCATGGATTGTACTATATAAGATATCCAAATTCCTAGAAGGATATAGTGATGCAAAGTGGATATCGGACATAAAAGATTCAAAATCTCTACTAATGGATATATGTTCACACTAGGAGGTGAAATTGTATCTTGAAAATCCTCGAAACAAATTGTTATAGCCAGAGATCCACAATGCAATTTGAATTTGTCACTGGATAAATGTGGGAAAGAAACTAAATGGCTACACAATTTCTTAGAAGATATCCAAGGTGGTTAAATCTTGTACCTACAATATGTATATATTGTGATAGTTAATCTGCAATTGGTATGGCACAGAAAAACATGTATCAGTATAATGATAAGTCAAGACATATTCATCGAACTCATAATAGCATTAGACATGAATATGTAAGATCAAAGGAAAATATTGCGAATTCACTAAACAAAGAATTAAATAGAGAATTAGTTAAGAAATCATTAAGGGGAACGAGACTAAAACCCATGAAAAGTAAATCGATACAATGGAACCCAAACTAGTTTATTGGATATCCCAAGATCTAGGTTCAAATGGACAACCTAATTTTAAAGATCACGTTTGATCATTGTGAGAACACTATGAGAACTCATCTTAGTCCATTCCCATTATGAAAACAGTGATACCTGTAAGGCTTGAAGGATAAGCTAAGCTTTTAATGATCATTATTTGTTGGAATATTCGAGAGATGTAATGTGGGTTACTCTTAATTAAGAGATCACCTATGTGAGCAAGAAGTGAGCCGCTTTTAAGGGGAATTACAATGGCTTAATTCCTTATAAGCTCTTAAAGAACTAGGGAGATGTTCATGGCCAAAATGAACATAACTATAGGAACTATGTTGTGTTAGGAAGAAGCCTATTCCGAGTATGTCATCGATTAAACAAATGGTAGAATAGTTCAAAGACATTATGTTTACTTATCAGCTAGTAAGGTAAACATGCTTACACAAAGGGAAGGTTCAAATGGGAACACCTACCTATTCTATATATGTTTTGACAATTGAATTCTATCACCATGTCTATTGTCATTGTTGTTTGAATAAAAGTCAAAATCTGAATTTGATCTTATACGGTTATGACCAATACTTGGAAGAGTTCTGGCTGGCTTAGAACTTTGGGTGTGTTTGATTACATTTATTTTCCACAGAAAATATCAATTTTCCACCCAAATTCCTTAGGGTTTGTTTGATCAATTGAAGACGTATCTTAACTCCATATACTTTTATTATTTCGAGCACATGTTTAAATGAAGATTATGCATAAACTAACTTTTAAGATAGAAAATAGGTGCGGAATTTAACTAGTGCAGAGCATATAGACTGTTATTGAAGAACTAAAAGCAACTGATAAAATGATAATTCTTCAGAACGTTATGGATAATCTCAACACTATTCACCTAAGTGATGTGATGAGCAGTGGCCTTCTATTCTACTTTTCTTTGGAGTCTTTTGCCGACTAGTAGATCAAAAAAACTTTAGATAATTTGGTTGAAGTATAAATTATGTTTAATAGGATACTATGTATCTCCAGACAACTATTATTTCACTTTCACCCCTTTCTGCAGAAAAACCAGTAGTTCAAACTGGTCTGGTTCTCGTTTCTCATGTAAAATCAGTTAGTATATTAAATTCAAACCACGTCAATCCAACTAGACACGTATAAAATATTATCAACCATTGACAAGAGCTTCTCAATAGCTAAATATTTCGTTTTATAGAGTTTATTGACAGACGGTACTTATTTTCAACATATACTCAATTCACATAGATCGAGTGTACCCAGAATTCTAAAATGGTTAGAGTTCAAGATTTTGGCTCGCACCATATGAATAGTGCCAAAACTTTTAAAAGAATTCGATTATCTATTACACGACGTTATGCACAGGGCTCGTCCTCTTCCTTTCAGTACTGCTTCGACTGCTAGAGAGCAATCTTGGAAGGCAACACTGCACAGAGTTTACTGATTTGTCCTCAGCTCCTAGCACTCTGCCGGTAGTTCTTTCACGACTATAGCACGAGTTAGCTCTAGAGATATAAATGGTCCACTTAGCAGATTTAGGTGAAGGTTCCACCTTTTCAGCAACTTCTTTTTCATTGCTTGCAGCATTTTGCTTGTCGATATCCTGATCACCTTGTAAGCTCTCTCTAAAAAGTTCGGAAAGTTTCTTTCTCCTTTCTGGAGGTGTAGTAGACTCTGCTCGACCCACTCGTGGGGTTCCTGCGGAGAAGTTGTGATGGACCGGAGTACTTCCACGAGATGGGGTAAAATCTGTCGTTAAGCCAACGCAAAACTATGTCAGAGAGCAATGAGGAGGAGATACTAACAGGCAATTACAAGAATCTGAAAAAAACTGGTCTGATAACAAGCATGGTGACAACACAATCATGGCATGTTTGGTACTACAACACAATAGATGGGATTTAAATTTATTTTTTTTCTTTAATACAATCAAATACTATCTAATCCACCTTACCAAACATGCGATCAATATTGACCACATGAAAAAGGCTACATTTTTTATGATTACATCGACTAGAATGATTTTGGTTTCTGTGCATGTTCGAGGGAGGACGGAGGAAACTTACCTCCATTGACGCTATAAAAATCTTCACAATCCGACTCGAACCAAGTGTGGGAATCGAAGAAGGTTTCTTCTTTACTACCTGCATCAGATGTCTATATCAATCATTCAATCTTCCGCTAAGTCCAAGAACAACCTTGAGAAACAAATAAGTTATGCAATTATAATACTAGTGAATTTACGTGCATCAAACCGAAGATATTTTTATTTTTTTAGATCAAAATTCTTCCAAATCAAAAATACATATATAATTTGATCTATGATGCATGAATATCAATGAAACGTACACCAATAATTTGAAAAAATAGATTCAACAATTAATTAGAAATTCCTGCATTTGAAGAAATGACATATCCTCCACATCTTTTAAAAAGTCAATTGCACATATTGTTGCCTCTGCACCACTCAATCCATCGAACGAGTACAACTAGGCTCCACAAGTTCCAACAAACACAACACTGATTATCGATAATTTATCGAGTTTACAAAAATATTTCAAATAAAAGAATACCATAAATTAAAAAATAAAAAAATAATAAATTTCTTCCAAATAGCAGAAAATCCAACCCTTAAGGCTCTAAGGTATGGAGACAACTCACATGGACAGAGAATCAAAATAAAAAATTAAAAACAAAAACAAAATCATCGAAATCAATATTTCCTTCTATGTTCTAACCAGAAAAAAAGAATTTTTTTCAAAAAGTTGCAATGCTTCAATGAATGAACTAAATTTATCAGACGACCATCCTAATATCTAGTCGATTGATCCATCAACTCGATCTGAGTCGGAGTTCTTCAGTTGAAGAAGAAGTATAATTGCATATAAAGATAAATTTCCTCAATAACATAACAGATACGACACACAAACTTCAAAGGCCATAAATAAATATTATTAATAAGAAACAAAATCATACCAGAATCAGGGACGGCTACAGGTGACATCTGGGACCTGAAAGCCACGTCAGCAATAGTACGACGACCTCCGGCAACAGTCTCCGGCTTTTCTTTCACTGGCGATAGAATTAGAAGCTTCTCACTTTTAGACCCGACTGAAAGCTGAAGTTTCATGGCGGATTCCGGGCGTTTGTCCACAGAAATACAGCCACCCATTCTTGATTCTTCCCAATAAAAAAAAAAAAGGACAATAGAGAGAGAGAGAGAGAGAGAGAGAGTGAAGTAGATGAGAGATGAGACCGGGAGGAGAACAGTAGGAGAGATCAAAATAAAATCAATCAATTTTCTGGAAATTATACCCTTTATTACTATGGATAAATTCCGAGAATTTGCACCAAGTAATGAAAATAATAAAGAAATAAAAAATAACGTATCCGAGAGGGACAGAGGGAATGAATTCTTCGATTGAAAGGACACTACTGGTTCGGATTAATTAATTCAATATGAACACTTGTGAGGCCCATTGAGGGAATTATTGCAGTTTATTATTTTGGGACTCTTTTTGTTCTCTTATGACTGCCATGCAAAACGACACAAAATTAATTTCTATGGCTTAGGCGTTATTACGATCAATTAGAACACCCACTATTTATTTTTAAAGAGAATATTCTATCTTACATTTTAAAATATTTTAAAAATATCTTTACATTTAACACTAAATTTTATTATTACAAAAAAATATTTATTATTTTTTTATCTTTTTATTTTAACTAATTTTTCTTCAGATTATTTTATTATTTTTCAGCATTGAAAATTGAAACACTTTGACTATATTTAATTATAAAAAGTGAGTTTGCCAAAGTCATTCTCTAAATTAAAACGTTAATTTAAGAAGTCTTTTGAAATATAATTTTAAATATTGACTCTTTAAAAAGGAGAACATCTCGTATTTAAAGAATTTCTTAGAGATGTTCTTATAATATAAATTTATTAATTTACTTTTGTTCAATTATATTGGTGGAATACTATTCAAACATATCAACGAACGTGCATTTAATATCATATACTGAGTTCAATGAATGTTACTTTGAGTTGAGTTGAGTTGAGTTGAGTAATAAATAAACTGCTTGAAATATAAGGAAAAAGTCCCATCATATAAAAAGATAGAGAGAGAATTTGCAGCAGAGACCTTAGCCTTTCAAAAATATGCAGTGCGATTTCAAACTTTTTAAATTCTAGTCGCTATATGTCAAATCTTTCAATGAATGAGATACGAAAAAACCTCTTAACATTTTTCATATAAAATTTTGTCAATTGATAGAAAAAACTAAAGTTTCTTACTTTCTTTTCGATTCAATCAAGCAAGGAAAATCTTGTTTTTTTTCCTCCATCTTTTTATAACATAAATATTATTAGGAGCCCTTCGGTGTGAAAATAAAATGTAACATATAACCTTAATTTGACCAATTAAATTCTAGGTTAAGTGGTCTTTAAATATTTCATTAATTAAAAAAAATAGAAACAAAAATAAATAAGAAAAAAATAAAAGAAATTTTGAAAAACATTCATCATCCCAATCCACCAAGTCTCACCCAACCAAATTAAGGTTAGGTGTTTGACTTTTGGTCGAGACATGGTTGCCAGGAATCAAAACTTTTGAGATTAAACTACACATTTTTGAAAGTTCTGAGACCTCATTGCAAATTTCTCACGTATATATATTTAATCTATTAGATATTTATGAATTATTATTATTATTATTATTTTGCAATTGATTTTGTATTGCTTTTCAGAACTAACAAACTATCTTGAATAAAAAATGCCTTGTTTTGACAATTTGAAGTTCAATTTAGTCTGTCAAAATTTTGAACCTAGAGAACTTAATAATATGTTTTTATATTACAAGAATAGATGACTGTATATTAACGTTTTTTAATTAATATATGGATCAACGTGAATCGCTGTTTAACTCCAGTTATAAGTAAGTCAAAATTTTCATTCTAATCAATTTCGTATTTTATCATAAACTTTATGTACTTTTAAGCATAGTCATTATACTTGACCCAGTCATCAACTCGAATAAGGCATTGGGTCTCGAGTTATTGGTTGAACAGGTGGATCAATGGTTGGACCGATGGTCTCGAGTGATTACATAAAAATCTATAAAAAAAAATTTAAATTAAAAATATAAAAAAATTAGGCAAATTTATATTTTTTAAAGATATTTTTCACTAATTATTTAGGTCTATAAAATAAAGTAAAAGGTTGAATCAAAGTTTTTTTTTATTAAAACACTTCTAGAAAATCTGTAAAATATATATGATTCATTGCATACATATAAGTTATTACAAAACTGACTGCAATCTATTTTTGTCTGTGAAAATCCCTCCAAAGCGCCTTCAATTAGTTTCAATTATTTTAGTAACTAAAGATTCAAAAATTTCTATTTGCTCTTCTATAATTGAGTATTTGTTTCCCTTCCTTTCCTGCTAGGATTGGAAATCCTGTATATGTCAATTTTGATTCTAGTACTAAGCGAAAGGTTACACATAAGGGTTCTTTACGATCAAAAAAATGAGTTAATTGGGCTAATCTTCTTACTGCTCCAATTAAGGATGTAATCTTAATAATTCATTAGTTGGGATGACGAAATAAATTGGAAATTAACTCATCTATTGTGGGACACGGACAAAGTCAAGGAAAACCTCTGAAATTATTTCCATATTGAACCTCGCAAGAGCCAACTTTATCCTCTTCCCCAGGGATCCTTACCCCCTCACGTCAATCCCACGAGCAAGCCATGAAAAAGATTCAACAAAAAACAAATCCACTATCTGTTTTATAAAAATTATTAAAGTATGTATTCTAATGGTGAGGACTTAACTATTTTTCTTGGAGGCCCAATATCCAATTCCATGGACCCCCTAAATTTTAAGAGACAATTTTTGAAAACAGTTAAACCAGGCCAGTAGTTTTATATTAAAACTTACGATTTTTCGATGAAAGCCTGTTTTTGACCTCGTCATGTGCATTCTTATTAAATTAATGTACTCGGCCCAGACAAGAGCCTAGATCATCGATTTTTCGGCCCAACAGATAGGTTCTTGCCAGGGTTTTATAACTATGCATTTTAGTCAAACAAATTATTTATAATTTCAGCATAAGCTACGGTACTAAAGAAAAAGTGGATTGATGAGCGTTTTTTATTCACGAGTTTTATTCCATTTATTAACTTGATTGTGAGCTATATTTTACGAGTTGTGAGAGCTTTTAATATATTTATTAGTTTGTTTTGTAGAAGTGGTAAGATTGTGAAAGACACTAAAATATTTATTAAATAAAGCTATTGGCATGGATTGGAAAGACAAGATGGAAAAAAAGAGCAAAATAATTAAAACATGAAGAGAATGGCGCTAGAAGCGCCATGGTGCCAAAATAGTGGCTCCGCTTCATGGTGCCACTGAAGAGAAGAAGAACAGAATTGTGGCGCCGAAACGAAACACATATATATCACGTGGCGCTGCGTGCGCCACATCACAGCGCTCCATTTAACGAATCTAGGGTGCAGATTTGCCCGTTTTGAAATCCATAAAAATCATTTATTCAAAATCAACGTGAGAGGCAACTATAAATTAAGTTTTGATACTTTTGAGGAGATCCCACACATTGAAGGAGGGAAAAATGCAACTAGAAATTGAATAATGCAATTCAAGGGAGAAAAAATATCAAGAGATTCAAGTTTTGAAATATTGATTGGAAGATGAATAAGGTCTTGGTGCAAGATTAATTTCTTTATCTACATTTTTCTTCAAAAAAATAAAAAATAAAAAATAAATAAAAGAAAATTTTGGCAATGCATTCAATAACAACTTTGTGTTTTTCTTCAGTTATTATGAGTAACTAAATTTAATATTAGGGAAACAATGTAACCGTTCGGGACCCTTAATATCTTTTATTCAAGATTTTTGTTTTTTTATTTTCCATGTGTTGATTTTGCTATAAATTTAGTACATTGAATTACTTGATTATTAATTTAATGATTTTGTGAATCTTTTACCAATCAAGAGGTGAGTTTAGGATTTAGATCATATAGTAAAATTTGGTAAATTGTTATAATGTATAGAGATACTTATACTTGTTATTGCGATCATGTATGAATTCTTAGAACCAATGTTTCGTTTAACTAAAGTTTATTCGCATAGAGATAATGTAATTAAATTATTTAAATTAACTCAATAAGAATTCGAGGAAGGTTAATTGAATATTATAGAAGAATTCGATCGAATACTATATTAGATTTTGAATTTTGATTTGACACTTAAAGGTGATCAATTGGTGAAATTGTTCTATCATAATATTTGTTCATTATTCAAATTCAAATTCAATCTTTGTATGCATCCATATTATTTTAAGTACTTAGGTTAAAAAATCATAACATCCAAATTTTTATTTGCTTTGTCAAATGGTGGTTAGAAAAATTTAGATTAAATGTGAGTTTGATTGCCAATATTTTTCATGGAAATTGTGTTTTTCTACCCAAATTCATACTTTTGTATTGTTTGATTGCCATTTTTAATAGAAAATATTTTCTTACTTTTGATCACATGATCATATTTTTCTCAAAATAAAAAAAAAAATATTTCCTTCAGGGGGACTAAAATTTTATTTTCCAAGGAACTCTCTCTCTCTCTCTCTCTCTCTCTCTCTCTCTCTCTCTCCCACTCACATTTACTCATCAATAAAAACGGACAAGTATAATATTTTTTAAGTTGAAACTAAATCAATCAAGTACATTTAATTGACAATTTTCATATAAATAAGTTTAGGCAATTGAATTTTTTAGAATTTATTTTCTTTATACAAATTTAATGTTTCCAATCAAACGCAACTTAGGAGTTAAAAGTATAGCCCTAGTGAGAACGATAATTCGAACTCAAAGGTCCATTATATTGTTCAATATCGTACACTTACGATAGAAAATAAAGCAACATTGATACTAATAATAAAAATTTCAAATGTACCTACATATTTTATTTTATCTAATTTAGTAAAATTATTGTTGAATATTTTACTAAATAAATAGTATTAATTAAATATTTTAATTGTCATTACGTTCACCCGCAGAGAGCATGTTTTCCATTCTTTAATTTAACAATAGATAAAAATAAATTTTGTGCCATTTTCTATAGCCATCAAAAGCGACAAATTGGCTGCCCGCCCGCCCGTCAAATCAAATCTTCGCGTTCACAAAATTTGATCCGACGAATAATGACTCCTTGACTGTAAAATTTATGAATTAAGCCAAGTGATCATAGAGGTTGACCTAATCGTTGACAGCACTCCCATATGATCGAGTTGGGTCCCGCCTGAATTTAAAATTCTCAAATCCCAACCTCTCATGTGTGTTTATGCGGTCATCCCTGCGACTCGCGTAGTGCGATCCAAAATTTCTTC